GAGGGGATAAAGAAAGAAAGAGAAAGAGAGGGAGGGAGAGAGAAAAAGAAAAGAAAGAAAGAGAAAGAGAATCTGTCCTAGCGTGATGGCGAGTCCAATTACTCCTGCGATATACACTTAACATTACCTTGTACTTACCTAAGGTCGTTTGCCCAAGGAAATCGTGTGACGCAGACTAGTTCCTATCAAGCTGGGAAGTTTTTTTATGCAGCTGAAGGACCGCCAGTTGCAAAAAATATAATATTCATATCCTTTTGCGTTATTTTGGCATAACAGCTGTTTTTTTGCGATAGGCTATCATTCTTTGGTAAAGAAATTTGTGTTTAAGCGAATGTATCCCACATTTTTTTTTAAGCATACGGTTTAACGTTAGAATCAGACGCAGAAACACGGGTATCTTTGTCAGTGTATCAGTTTGTACTTAAATCAGGCACAGGAACATATCAATGTCATTGTCAATGTATCAGCTTGTATTTAGACTGTATCAGTGTCTCAGTATGTACTTAAATCAGATACAGGGTATGAGTAACTTTGTCGGTTCATAAGCTCATACTTTGGATCAGATACAGGAAATGGGTAACTTTGTCGGTTCATTTGTTTGTACTTAGAATTAGGTACAGGAACATGTGTATCTTTGCCAATGTATCAGCAAGTGCTAAGAATCGAGATACAGGGACATGGGTTTCTCTGTCAGAAATACAGGGGGCGGGGGACTATGTGGACGTGTGAAATATTCTAAAGAGGATATAATACTCTTCCTAAAAATATATACTATAGATAAGTTACATTAGCACCTTTCATAGACAATTTGGTGACATGATGGCAGCGTTCTTATCGTGTGTGTGTGTGCAAATATATATACATATATATATATGTATATATATATATATATATATATATATATATATATATATATATATATATATATATATATAAATATATATATATATATATATATATATATATATATATTATATATATATATATATATATATATATATATATATATATGTATATATATATATATATACATATATATATTATATATATATATATATATATATATATATATATATATATATATATATATATATATATGTATATATATGTATATATAAATATATATATATATATATATATATATATATATATATACATATACATATATGTATATATGTATATGTATATAGTACATATATATATATATATATATATATATAATATACATATATATATATATATATACATATATATATATATATATATATATATATATATATATATATATATATATATATATATATATATACACATATGGTAATTATGATATGATAATAATAATGGAAAAGGCGTGAAAGTAATGATAATAATGATTATCATTATACTATTGCTACTACTATTACTACTAATAATAATATCAATGAGGGTTATAACAATGATGTATATATATGTATATATATACAAATGTAAATATGTATAATATATATATATATATATATATATATATATATATATATATATATATGTATGTATACATCATTGTTATAACCACCATTGATATTATCAGTAGTAGTAATAGCAGTAGCAATAGTATAATGATAATCATTATTACCATTACTTTCACTCCTTTACCATTATTATTATCATATTATAATCACCCTTATTATCAATACTTCTATTACTAGTTTTACCGACATCGATACGGAGACTTCAACGCGCTAAAGAAAGCGCCAAATTCCAAATTCTTTAAATTAGACATTCATTAGCAAGTACTTAACGACCAACGCATTACCACCTGTATTTTCCAACATACTGGTGGTAATGCCATCCTAGCTTGATAAGACCGGCCATGCTATGCGTCACTGCATTGCCAGTCGGTCACTTCTCTTGACCTTGGACCGGCAAGCGACTCCCTTCCACCCTACCAACATCCCAGCCCACATACTCTCCACGTGTGGCCCTGAGGCGGAGCGCAAGAAACCGACCTCCGACTGAGAGCGTCGCGGCCGCACTGCGCATGCGCCGTCCGGATGACAACAACAAGGTGGAGTTGCCATCACTCGGCAGACAGCCCAATTAAAAGAAGAAAAATGGCGGGCATGATGTCATTGCAACGGTAAAAGTAGGGGTGTGAATGCATTTTGCGTATATAATGTTATGTTTTGTTGAGGTGATGATAATCAGTATAAAGGTTTCAGTATTATAAGAAATATTCATGTCATTAGTTGCATATATATCATCACCAATAGTAGTAGCAGGAGTAGCAGTAGTAACAGCTGCTGCAGTAGGAACAAGAGCAACAGCAGTTGTAGTAGTAGTAGAAGCAGTAGTAGTAGTAGTAATAGTAGTAGTAGTAGTAGCACACCAATATTTTTTTTGTAAGATTGATGATCTTGATAATAAAAGATAATGATTATAAGTATAATATCGATAATGATGATAATGATAATAACAATAATGATGAAAATGATAATAACTATATTATTGATGATTATACCAATAATATCAGTTAAGATGATAATAGTATTGATAGTAATAAAAAAGATAATGAAAATCATAACAATAACAATAATAACAATGTTGATACAACTACTACTATTATTCTTACTTCCACTACTGTTACTGTTATCAATGGTAGTAACAACAATATTGTCAATGACAATAATAACATTAACAACAATGGTAGTGATGATGGTAAGGATGAGAACGATAATGATGATAGTGATAATGGTGAAAGTGATGTCAGCATTGATAATGACAGTAATGATGATGACGGGTATGACAATGATGACGATGACAATTACAATATTAATTAATGATAATGATAATAGTAATAATGATTATAACAATACTGATAACAATATTGATGATAATGATAATTATGATAATGATAATGATACTATTGATAATAATAATAGCAATGATAATAGTAGTAATAGTAACAGTGACAAAATTGATGATAATAATGATAGCAACACTAATAACAATAGTGATGATAATGATTATAATGATAACAGTAGTAGTAGTAATTGTAGCAGTAATGATAGCAATTAAGATAATGATAATAATGGTAATGATGATTATAATGATAATGATAATAAGGGTAATGATGATTATAATGATAATGATAATAATGGTGATGATAATAATAATATCAGTAATGATGACAATAATAAAAATGATAATGATACTGATAAAAGTAATTATAAACATAAAAATAATTATGGTAATGAATATGATGATGATAATAGTAACATTATTAGTGATAATATTCATGGTAATAACAGTAACAGTAGTAATGATGATAATAATGATGATACTAATAATGATAATGATAACAGTAATAACAATAATGATAATGGTAATGATGATAATGATAATCATAATGATGTCAAGAACGATTATGGTAGTAATAATGATAATGATAATGACGATAGTGCCAACAATAATTTTTAATCATGGGAATAAGAAGAATGATGATGATGATGATGTAAATAATTATGATAGTAATAATAATAACAAGGATAATGATAGTAATAGTGATCATACTATGATGATGATAATAATAATGATCAAAATGATGATGATAATGTTGATAACAATAATGATGATGATGAAGATAATAATGGTTATAATAAAAATGATAATAATAGTTATGATAATGATTAAAATAGTAATAACGATAATCTATGATAATGATGATAGTAATAATAATGATATTAATGATAGTGATGTTAATAATAATAACAATGCTGCTAATAACATTGATAATGATAACAACAGTAAAGATAATGATAATAAAGATAACAATAATAATGTTAAGAGCAGTAGGAATAACAACAATTACAATAAAAAGAACAGTAATGATTGCAAAGATGATAAATAACAATGACAAAACAATCAATATGAATAATTATGATAACATTAATGTAAAAACAAAACACTAACAATTAAAATAATCAAAATAATATTGCTGAATCATCGTTGATAGTGATATTAGTATCCTAAATGATAAAAAAGCTATAATTAGAATAATACTGAATTGATGATAATATTGATGAAACTGACGATGATAACAATGATGATAATGATGGTGAGGATAATGATAAAGGCAAGTGTGATGGATGATGATGATTATGAGCAACAGAGATAATGATAATGAAGGTATAAGGAATAATGGTATTAATATCAACACTAGAATAAGTTAAAATGAAAGGAATGATAATGATGATGATAATGATGATATTGATAGTATTGATGATGATGATATCAATGATAATTATAATAATAATAACAATAATGATAATAATAATAACAATGATAGTAATAACAATGATTATGACGATAATGGCAATAATGGTGATAAAGATAATGATAATTGTAATAGTAATGGTAATGATAACAATAATAATAATAATGATTACAATGATAGTATATTGATGATAACTATAATGATAATGAAAATTATAATAATAATGATAACTGTGATAAAGATAATGATAATTATGACGATAACAATAGTAATAAAGTTACCTATAATAATGATAATAATTATACCACCATTATTATTTCTACATACTGCTATTACAATAATACTAATGATGATTATAATGATGTTATTTAATCGTGGAGGTGTGTGTGGTGCTTTGCATGTTTGTGTGTGCGTTTGTAAATATATGAATAAATGTATAGACATATGCAAAAAGAAGAGAAAGATAGAAAGAAAAATATACATATATATTTATTTATGTATATATACAAACATATGTACATAAACACAACCACGTGTATATACATACACATACGTGCATATATACTTACATCCCACCAGCCTCACTTAAAGAAAAAAAAAAGAAAAAAATTTTTTTTTTACAATAAATGTTCATAATAGCATGAAGTAGCATATTTCACGTTGCATCGCCGTCGGTTGTCGTGCCACCCCCCCCTCCCTCGCCCCCCCTCGCGACCCGGCCTGCGAGTATAAAAGGGCTGCGAGACGCGCCAAACGTCAGTCTGTTCCCGACCGAACAACGAGCAACTTGACTCTGTATTGATCGCTTGCAGTCGTCTCCGTCAGTTTTAATCCTTGTTTACTTCGACTCTTTGTCTGGAAAACAGCAACAACGATGGCTTCAATGGTATGTTTTTTTTCGTTTTTTTTATCGTTATTTTATTTTGAGTTATTTTATGCAGGTTTTTTATTTTGTTTTTACATTTCTTTGCAACTAGAGCATTGCAAGTCGGTAATTAATCTCTGATTGAGCAAAGCAATTAATCAATAATAAACAATATTCAATAGAGAAATTTATGAAGCCTTTTTTGAGCTGATCATCGTTTTGCATTCAATAAGATAGAACAAGCTTTCTCTTCATGAAAAAAGCCTGCGAATATAAAATTATCATCAGATCCATTACTTTATATCATTTTGATTGTTATTCTTTACTTATCTCACATTTTTCCCTCGACCAACTTAGTCAGCTTGCCTTATATTTTCCCCTCAATCAGCTTACCTCACCTTATCTTCTTTTTTTCCCTCAATAAGTTCATCTTAGCTTACATTTTCACCTTAACCAACTTACCTTAACTTACATTACATTTTCCCCTTAACCAACTTACACTTTCCCCTCAACCAACTTACCTTACATTTTCCCCTCACTCAACTTACCTCACACTTTCCCCTCACTCAACTTGTCCCCCCCCTTATCCAACTTACCTTACTTTTTCACCCTCAACCAACTCCCTCCCCCTTACCTTATCTCTTTTATCTCTCTTTTACCAGACATTCGACCAACTTACCTTACATTTCCCCCTTATTCAACTTACATTACATAATCCCCTCAACCAACTCCCTTCCCCGTACCTTATTTTTTATTTATTATTATTTCTTTTTTACCAGACATTCGCAACTGTGGCCCTGTGCGCCCTGGGATGTGCCATGGCCCTCCCGGCACCCGACTTCTCCTACGTGCGAGAGGGCCAGTGCCTCCCTATGACCTCAAGCGCTCCTTTGAACTACGAAAAGGTCTTGTTCATTATGACCTCAAGCGCTCCTTTGAACTACGAAAAGGTAGGGATTTTATTTATTTTTTATTTATTTTGACTTGTTTATTTTATTGTTATTGTTATTTTGTTTATTTATGTTTTTTTTTTTGGGGGGAGGGTATTGTACTTCTTTGTGTGTGGTATGTTTGTTTTTGCTTTTTCTGTATTTAATCTTCTATTATTTTTTGTTTCATTTGTTCTGTATGTTTCATGTAGTATGTTAATTTATGTTTATTTT